AACCCTAAACCCTAAACCGTCGTTCATGAGGCCCAGGCAGCCGAGAACGCGCACTGCGCCTCTGGGCAGAGAGAAGCGCGCCTTGGCTTGGGTCGCCCCAGGTCGAAGCGAGCCTCCTTTTCGGTTCAAGCCTAACCCAGAGAGCCCAATACCCCTTAATTAAGGAGTATACCTTAAATCATAATATGAAGCCCCTTATAGTTTAAGGTATATTGCTTAATTAAGGGGTATTGGGCTCTCTGGGAAAGCCTTGCAAACCTGGCTGTGACTTGGTGTTGCCAGGAATGGCAGCAAGCTGCGCCTCGATTGCATACTGGGTAGAGTCAGTTTAGGGTTTGGGGCACGGAGAGTTGTACTTTCATAAGAAGTGTGATGGTAGGTCGCTGTAAGCTTCGTGGTCCCCGGGTGATGATCCCCTTTCGATTAAAACTTTAGAACGGCGGCCCCTATAAACACTAATCCATATTCCATTTCTCGTGCTGCGGTGTGCTTCTGGTTTTTTGTTGTTCTACAGTTACGTTGTTACATGATATTGCATGTAGCTTTGTATTGTGAGTATATTGCAGCGGTAACACCAGGTATGCCAGCGTAAACCAGTCAAAGAGCACCGAGCCGCACGACTTCCACCGAAAAAACACATCAACATATGCACGTCGTAACTGTGGTGGGAGCTCATGCCAGCGTCCAGGTTTTACAGTGAATTCGGCAGCCCAGGGGTTGTAGTGGGACCGGTAAGCACGCGATTCCAGTCAACAATGCACGCCTGGAGACTTGAAACGGTTTCCTGCTGCTTGCACCGCAGGTGCAAGCACTGAGAGATGCGTCAACTTGTGGAGAACCGCTGAGGCTCATCCAGGCCATCCTCGGCTTAAACGCTGTGAGGTTCAATGCTTCAATCTCGAAAGTCATCGTGTAAAGGCAGAGCAGCCAAGGTGGTGCTACGTAGCTACTTGCAGTATGATAGTAGCCTGGGCCGCTCGGAATGTGTGTGCACATTGAAGGTCTCAACCTCGGGCTGAATCTCGAGTCCTGACAGTTTCGCCGAGATTTGATTCACATGAGCTAAAAGGCAGCGACGATGTTAGTGGGTGCCGGCAAGTTGCTTGAGAGAAGTCGATTGTTTTCTTCTTCGAGTAGCTTTGGCTGTGATTTGAACTCTCCTTGACCTCCTCTGAGGAGGTCTTAAGTGTGTCGTTCCGAGTTCCGAAACATCGAGCTGGTGGGGTGATGGTCCCTAAACCCTAAACCCTAACCCCTAAACCCGATGATTTTTGACCATGAGGATAAGACTCGTGGCCCTTTCAGTGTAAGCCCCATACAGGGCGAGCTTCGTGCGGAGAAAGATGCTATTGCACTTTTAAAAAAAACCCTAAACCCTAAACCCTACACCCTGAACCCTAGACCCTAAACCCTAAACCCTAAACCCTCGCAGGCCCAGGCATCACGGCTCCTGTCCTCGCTGCGGTGTGGCTCACAGTGGCGAGTCGCTTTGGTGATCTTTGCAGGCCCGGATCTTCGGCGTCGTACCATCCTAGGTTTCAGGGTTTAGGGTTTAG